CCCACTAATTTGCTAAGTTACAAAGGGGTAAATCTTATCAAACCAGACTCCGCCAGAACGATGAACGTATAAAGAGAGGTAGAGTTGTCTCTATGGAAGGGGGATGCCAACTACATCGATGGCCTTTGATATGATAAGGTGTGATACCACTGACAAATGCTAGCCCTTCTTGCCATACTCGCACCATTAGAGGGTGGTCTTGGTTATTGTTGCCTGTCGGGCACTGCACCACCATGCATGGGCGACCACCAAGGGACTGTCAATCGCTACTTGATGGATTTTTATCATTGGAGGGTAGCCCTCCCATCCGATTGCAGGGTTGCAACTGTTATCGGCCTCACACTAATCGTATTGAGTTGTGTCAACTCTTTGTCCGTTTCCTGGAGCAAGTGAGATAGATATGTAGTAGATCTAGTCCTTCATCCATCGTTGGGAGCTGTGTAATTGTAATATGATTAGCTCGTTGTCCATTGATGAGAACCAGTGATAACGATATATAGGAGTGGATGCTCGGCCCATTGTTCATCGTTGGGAGCTATATAGATCAGCCTGTTGTCCTTTGATGGGAGCCATGTAGCAAAATAGGCTCTTTGTCCATTGCTGGGAACCACAAGATACAGCAGAGAATATCACTGTAGAGGACATGGCCGTCAAGAAGCGCCCAGCCATGTTGCCGAAATAGACTTAGCCATGTCTAGCCATATGTGTGAAGATATATGCTGGAGTGAGTCACATTCCGCGGTATTTCCAACGAAGCAAATAAGTGCCCCCCCTCTGGCGATGTTGATTCCACAGTAGCAATTAGTAGAAAATTGGAATCACACATCAGATGTGGGAAGATAAGTATTGTGGTCCTTTGCTAATGTGGACCGACACATGTAATTAGTCATACAGCCATGCAAGTTCATCCCTTAACATTGTTCATTCTCTCAAATGAGCTTTGCCATTTGCTCTCCAATTGCTTTTTTTTTATTTAGCTCGACCCGTAACTTAATGTTTTCCTTCTCTATGGCATGAGCCTCCTTTACCATTCTGGTATGGTCAATGGCCAGACCACAAGTTAGATTGACCACCTACAAAATAAAGAGAGAATATCAACACAATGTTATAACAAAATAACAGTATAGCAGATTACCTTTAACTTACTTCCAGAGCCTAATGGATAACCTTATTGCCATTCAATGTCTGAATAGTATGCTATACCTTGTCAAGATCCTAGAAGGGAATAAGTTTTAGATGAAACATTGTCCAAAAAGTTGGAACTTGTCATCCAAAAATGTGAAGTCTTCATGAAACTCCATCCTTAAGATGACGAATAGCCACTTTACACTGCTAGTATGAAGGAAGCTCGCCCTCCGAACATCCTCAATGCCGACTTGCTATTTATCTTGATCTCCTTGTCTGGCCCTTTTCCTACTAGGGCCAGTAGCATTAGTCGGTGCTCTTCTTGCTCGTTGGAGTCTGACGCCCCTTGGGAGAAGTAGCTGTGGCATCCAAGTCCACAATCTATGGGTTAAGAGGCTAAGGGGGGGACTACCTGAATAGATGGAGCAACACTATTAGCCACCTCTTGGAGAGTTGGTAGCTAAGTAGCCTAGTTGGTGTTCTTCTCCCTTGGAAGAGTTAGAACTTGTTTGGTGGAGCTTTGTGGAGCTTTTACTTTCTTAGTACTGTTTATGGGTCATAAGTTTAAATTTTTATTGGAGCAAAAATTTAAAAATTACTTTTAGAAATAATAAAAAGTGAATAAGAAGTTTATAAAATAGAAGTTTATAAAAAGTAAAAGTTTGAAACTTTTCAAACTTCATTGTTTAAGGTCTTTTTAAGGTTAAAAAGAAGTTAAAAAATATAAGTTTTTAAGAGGAAAATTTAAACTTATGAAATATAAATAGTATCAAAAGGCTGAAGCACTTACAAGCTTCACCAAACATGCTCTTAGACTAATAGCAAGTTTAAGAAGCTCATCCATCTTTCTTCTCCTCTCTGCAAAAATAATAAAAGTAAGGTATCAATAAAAATAGAATGTAACATGTTTAAGTTAGGAATTTTAAAGACCTAGAGTCATAAGCCATCCCCTAGTGTCAAGGATAAGGCCAAAGGTCATTAGCATGGTTTGGCTTGTCAAGGCCATAACATCCATCACCTTTGTTGAGTTTGAAGGGATGATTAGAAGATCATGGTGTCTTTGTTCATGTATTGTCAAATCAAACTGGTTCAGCTCTCCAAACTTATCTTTCCATTAGCTCATGGCTTCAATTTCTTTTGTTGACTTCTAGGTGGTGTCATCCACAAAGAAGTACATAGTTTTCTACTACTTTATAGACATGGAGAAACCATTTAACAACATTTTTCCATTTCTAGGGGAAACATTATATCATTCCTTATCCCCCTTCACCTCACTGAGGCTAAAGAAGCTCTTGAAAATAGCAGTAGTAGGGATGATGCCCTTAATCCAATAGTAGACTATAAAGCCCAATATTGACCAAACAGTGTTTGGTGTAAGTTGCATTAAACCAATATTATAGCTTTCCAACTAACTGATGAATAATTCTAGCAAAGGGAAGCTTAAGCCAACCTTAAGCTAGTGTGCATAAAAGGGAAAAATCTATCTGTAGAGGTCGAACAAGTTCTTTTTGGGCAACTGAAGAATCACTGTTTTGGATATGCTATAAGTCTCTATTAAACGAGCCATGTCATCCCTTGTCATGACTGACTTAAATCTACAAACCCTATAAAGAAGATCACCAAATGAATGAAGCATAGTTCCCTTTAGTCATCTATCTTCAAAGTGTTCTTTGGGCACTCTAGAGGACCATCTATGGGCTCAACCTGCTTGTTAGTTATATGGACAACTTGGTCATTTAAAGGATCCTTTGCCCACATTTCTTCAATTTTGTAAGATTTGCTATAACGGGTATGCTCAAAAAAATCGTTTGGATCTAATTTTTCCTTGATCGACTAGTGGTAAGTACTCTGAAAAGAAACAAGAGAAAGAACCAAAGGTTCGAACCTAGGACTTGAAGAACTAATGGACAACCTAGTTGTCTCTTTTAGCTACACAAGCTGTTGACTCAATGTACTCCAAGAGGGGGGGGGAATTGGAGTTCCAAAAATTCTCCCCTTTTTGCAACCACAAAACCAAAAGTAAAAAGAGTAAAGAAGAAGAGCTTGCTCAATGATTTTATAGAGGTTCGGTCCAACCACTTGGAGCCTAGTCCTCTACTTTGGCTTCACTCACCAAGGATTTCCTCCACACTCTCCACTAACAACAATAAGGGTGGCTTAAAAGAGCAACTCAATCCTTTTACAAGAAGAATGGTGTTTTTCTCAAATCTCACTCCTTTACACTTAAACCCCAAGAATCCTCTCTACAAATCACTCTTGAAGGATTAATCACACCCCCAAGATCACTCACAAATAGAACAAGAAGAGGA